TTGAAGGGGATGTACTTCTTCTTTTCAGTACATTTAACAAAACCACTTCCTAAAGCACTTTTTTACAGTTCTTAACGATTATGTTTATTGTTTCTTCTGTTTCTGCTACTGTTATTAAATAGACACTTAATTCTTCTATTCTGTTTCCCACTATTATTGAATGAGCTCAACTTTAACCCTATTTCAGATTGCCAATGCTGGTTATGTATTTTAAAAACTTAGCAGCGGCCGGCGCCATGGCTCACTAGGCTAATCCTCCGCCTTGCGGTGCCGGCACACCAGGTTCTTGTCCTGGTTGCCCCTCTTCCAGGCCAGCTCTCTGCTGTGGCCAGGGAGTGCAGTGGAGGATGGCCCAAGTGTTTGGGCCCTGCACCCCATGGGAGACCAAGAGAAGTACCTGGCTCCTGGCTTCGGATCAGCGCAGTGCGCCGGCTGCAGCGTGCCCGCCGCAGCGGCCGTTGGAGGGTGAACCAACGGCAAAAAGGAAGACCTTTCTCTCTGTCTCTCTCTCTCACTGTCCACTCTGCCTGTCAAACAACAACAACAACAAAAACAAAAACAAAAACAAAAAACCTTAGTAGCAAGATCCAACAAAAACATGGTGAATTAAGCCGTTTTATTTAGCTTGTTAGAATTTGATGTCCACAAAGAATGTTTGGGAGTATTTTTTCAGATTTAAAAGGGGAAACATAGGGACTAGTGTGTGGCACAGTGGATTAAGCCACAGCTTGAGAAGCTGGCATTCCTGTGGAGTTGCCATGTGAGTTCCAGGGTTCTGGCTTCTGACATTGGTCTGGCCCAGACCTGGCTGTTTTGATCATTTGTGGGAATGAACCAGCAGAATGGAACATTTCTGTCTCTTCTTCTCCCTGTCACCTTGCCTTTCAAATAAAATAAATAGTCTTTTAAAAAAGATAGAAATAAAAGGGGCAACATATATTTAGAACAAAATGACTTGATTTTTCCCTCTCCAACTTGGTTTGCTTTTGTTTTTTAATTTTTGAAGTTTCCCCCTTTAGTAAATGGAAAATCAACCACAGAATCTCAACCCCATTGAAGAGAAAAATCATTTTATAGTTTATTTTATTTATATTTTGTTTTAGATAAGAACAGCAAGTCAAGAGAATCTAGTTTTGTGTTGATGAAATAGGATGTTCTCATCAAAAGTGACAGAAGAGTCCTACTAATTTTTATCATGCGGTTTTTTGAGAGAAAGATGCTATTAGCACTGCATATTATTAATACCTTAGGGTGAAAATTCACTCTTAATTTGACTTTTTAACTTTCAGTAATTTTCTCTAAATGATTGCATTAAAATATATCTCTTTAGGGAAGGCTTTTCTATTTCCAGAAAAGACATTGTACATGAATCCTTATATTTGTTGATCATTTTTTTTCTTTCTACCTTAGTGGACTCCAATATTTGAGGCTAAGCATCTGATGCTTTTCAGTAATGGTGATATATTTTTCCCTCCACTATGTAAATGAGCATAGTACTTCTTTGAAAGTTGAATATTAGAATAAAGATGATTCTTTTTCTCAACTGTGATGCTTTCAAAGGTAAAGAATTCCTGCCTTTTAAAGAGTTACTTGGAAGCAGCTCCAAAAGTCATGGTCCTGGGGAACCTCATGAGAGTCTGGCCTACCTGCTGTGCTGTCGGTTTCATGGTTCTGTCTTCACGCTTCCCTTTAGGCAAGACCTGCTTTGAAAGTCTGTGCATTTGGAAATTAATTTTGTAAAAAATAGATGGCCTTGGTGAATATTCTCCAGTCACTGTCTTCTGTACTCATCTACTCCTGAGCTAACCAAGGAGACTTTAGGACAGTATGCTGTGCCATGGCTCACACGTAGACTTAAAAGTGTGGTAGTTGAGCTTGGTGTTTAAATTTTTATAGTATTATGTTCTGTGTATCACTTTTTCACAGAAACAAATATTCCCCAGGGCGAGCAATCCTAAGAACAATCTTACATGATGTTTTCTTAAAAAGATTTATTTATTTATTTCAAAGGCAGAGTTTCAGAGAGGGACAGGGAAAGGGAGGAGAAGAAGAAGAGAGAGGAACAGAGAGAGAGAGAGATCTTCCATTGGCTGGTTCTCTCCCCAAATGGTTGCAATAGCCAAGGCTGGGCCAGCCCAAAGAGGCCAGAAGATGGATCTGGGTCTCCCATGTGGGTGGTAGGGACCCAACACTTGGACCATCTTCTGCTGCTTTCCCAAGTGCATTACTAGGGAGCTGAATGGGAAATGGGACAGCCAGGACTCAAACTGGCACTCATGTGAAATACTGGCATCATTGAAGGCAGTGGCTACAATACAGTGCTGGCTATGTGGCTATGTGTGATGATTTTTAAACATTCTTTATCAGTGAAGTGATTCTCAATCTAGGGCAGGGATTGACAAACCACTACAGGTTGACCAAATATGGCCTGCCACATATATATATTTTTTTAAACCTGTAAGGTTTTTTTTTTTTGTTTTGTTTTTGTTTTTGTTTTTTTTTGACAGGCAGAGTGGACAGTGAGAGAGAGACAGAGAGAAAGGTCTTCCTTTGCCGTTGGTTCACCTTCCAATGGCCTCCGTGGCGAAGGCAGGAACCAGGTACTTTTCCTGGTCTCCCATGGGGTGCAGGGCCCAAGGACTTGGACCATCCTCCACTGCACTCCCTGGCCACAGCAGAGGGCTGGCCTGGAAGAGGGGCAACCGGGACAGAATCCGGTGCCCCGACTGGGACTAGAACCTGGTGAGCCGGCACCGCAAGGCAGAGGATTAGCCTAGTGAGCCGCGGCGCCGGCTTGCCACATATTTTTTTTTTTTAAAGTTTTAATGAAGAGTAGTCATGGTCGTTTATTTACAGTTATCTATTTAATGTTACAATGACAGAGTTAAGAAATTACATCAGAGATTCTACGTCTCTTCCCGCACACGAAGGCTATCTATCATATTTACTATCTGGTCCCTTGCAGAAACCTGTCAATTCCTTTTCTAGGTGATCATCTGAATCGCCTAAAGATTCCCGAGTCTCTCCCCTCTACCCAAATAGCATCTCTAATATATTAAGCTGTTTCACAGGTTTGATACTATTCTTCTATATGCACAGCTAGGGTCCAGCGCTATGGCGTAGTGGGCTAAGCCTCTGCCTGCAGTGCTGACATCCCATATGGGCACCAGTTCATGTCCTGGCTGCTACTCTTCCAATCCAGTTCTCTGCTTATGGCCTGGGAAAGCAGTGGAAGATGGCCCAAGTGCCATCCACGTGGGAGACCTAAAAGAAACTCCTGGCTCCTGACTTCGGGTCAGCGCAGCTCCGGCTGTTGCAGCCATTTAGGAGTGAACCAGTGGATGGAAAAACTTTTCTCTCTATCTCTCCCTCTCTCTGTCTGTAACTCTGCCTCTCAAATAAATAAATAAATAAATAAAATATTTTTTTACAAAAATGAAATATATGCACAGTTATATTGAAAAGGCCATGTTGTGGAATTCCCACCCACCAATCCTTCAGGTGGGTATGAATTAAAGATTCATGTAAACCCAATCCTGATTTGCCAGGAGTACAATTGACAAAATCCATTTACAACAACATTCACAAACATTATTTACCTTGACTTTAATCCTCACAAACAAGATACAGTATGTGTCTGTTGGTTAACAATTGTTAAATATATCCATTTAGAACATTGTCTAAAGGTTCTTGTTCCATTTCTTCCCATTAATGTCAAACTTGGAGTGAATATTATTATAGGAGCTCAGCCTTTTTCTTTTGTTGAAAATAGCATTTTGTCTTTATAAGGATTATTTACAAAGAAATGTAGAATAGGCAATATCCACCTTTTTGTAACACAAAAAGTTTAGCAGTAATAAAAGAACTTTATCTGGCAGGTAGAAGTAACTCTGCAGGTATTTAGATACATAATTCTTTGTCATGAAATACTATAAATCATTTAGCACCCTTCTAAAATGTTTGAATTGACACTTTGTTTTATAGCCTTCACTTCTTATCATGACATGACAGGAGCCAATTTATTCCAAATGTACAACAATAGATTTTAAAAGAAATGGTCAACTTAGCTTCAAAAAAACCAAGTTGCTAAGTTCATTTTAATAAAATGCTTTTAGAAAGCACCCATAAATGTCTATAATCTGCATTTAAGGACATTTCTCCCCAGTAAACCATTGAGAAAACAATTTAAGTAATTTTTAAAAGGAGATGTGGAAAATTCAGAATGTGTTAAATGTTTTACATATAAAAGTGGTGATGGGTACTAGGTTATAGCTAGATAGGAGTAAGATGCTCTGGGGTTTTACCGGATAGTAAGTTGAAGACATATGTTAATTTACTCTGTAGTTCTCTAAAAAATAAACTAGAATATATAATTTTGGGATGTCTTCACTATATAAAATGTTTAAAGCTTGTGAGGATAAATATATTTACCCCATTTGGACATTGCACAATATATACATATGTAAGGAAACATCACTTAATTCTCCATGAATAGGTACAATTTTAATATATTATTAATTTTTAAAATAAAAATGTTAAATTAAAAATATATAAAAGTAAACTTTCAATATATCAGACCTAAATGGGGGCTGGCATTGAGGCATATTTGGCTTAGCCTCTGGTGGTGGCACTGGCATCCCATATAGGCACCAGTTCTTGTCCTGGCTGCTCCTCTTCCAATTCAGCTCTCTGCTGATGGCCTGGGAAAACTGGAAGATGGCCCAGGTGCTTGGGCCTCTGTACCCACCTGGGAGACTGGAAGAAGGTTCTGGCTCCTAGGATAGAAGACCTTTCTCTTTCTCTCCCTCTCTCTCTAACTCTGCCTTTCAAATAAATAAAATCTTTTTTAATAAAACCTAAATAAAATTCATTTTTATGTAAGTATTGGCAAAATTAATAAATGTCAAGTCATTTTTATGATTATGGTGTTAGTTTGAATTGAATGTTGTGATTAGGTGTCAATAGGTACATATTTTCATGTTGCTTATATTTTTTTCTAGCTGAACCTGGCTATGAATGAACAGAAGGAGAAAATTACAGAAAAGTTCATTCTTTCAATGTCAGCAAAGGAACACAAAAAGGCACAAGAAGAGGTAAGAATCTTGCTTTATAAACTGTATTAAAACACCAAAAAGGAAACCTGTTGAAGTGAAATCGACACTATGAGAAATGGTGACTTAATCAGCATAGCCCTGACTGTTAATGAACAACTTAATACATTATCCCTCTTAGTAGTTTTTGTTGTCTGTTCTACTTAATATGACTGGTTTAATTCTGTAATTAATACACAGTTATTCTTAAGTGTTGAAATTTAACTTAAATGTGATCCCTGTTAAACATAAGAGTGGGAATAAGAGAGGGAAGAGATGTATAATTTGGGACATGCTCAAGCTGACTTGCCCCAAATGGTAGAGTTAGAAACATACCAGGGGACTCCAATTTAATTCCATCAAGGTGGCATGTACCAAAGCCATCTCACTAGTCCAAGTGATCAATTTCAGTTCACAATTGATCATAATGAAAGGACTAAGAGTCAAAGGGAGCACATAAACAAGTCTAGTACCTGCTAATACTAACCGATAGAATAAATAAAGGGGAGAGTGATCCAACATGGGAAGCGAGATACTCAGCAGACTCATAGAATGGCGGATGTCCTAAATAGCATTCTGGCCTCAGAATCAGCCCTAAAGGCATTCCGTTTTGGCTGAAAAGCCCATGAGAGTATTTCAGGCATGGAAAGCCAAGACACTCTGGCAAAAAAAAAAAAAAAAAAAAACAAACAAACAAACAAAAAAAAACAACCTAAATGAAAGATCTCTGTGAGTGAGATCCCAGTGGAAAGAACAGGTCTTCAAAGAAGGAGGTACCTTTCTCTGAAGGGAGGAGAGAACCTCCACTTTGACTATGACCTTGTCTAAACAAGATAAGAGTCGGAGAACTCAAGGGGCTTCCATAGCCTTGGAAACTCATGACTGGTGCATAGGGAGATTACTGATGCCACAAACAGGAGTGTCAATTGGTAAAGTCAACAACAGGAGTCACTGTGCACTTACTCCTCATGTAGGATCTCTGTCCTTAATGTGCTGTGCATTGAGATTTAATGCTATAACGAGTACTCAAACAGTATATTTCACTTTGTGTTTCCTTTTGTTTCATTTTCTTTTCTTTTTCTTTTTTGTTTTTTTTAATTATTTTTTATTTTTGACAGGCAGAGTGGACAGTGAGAGAGAGAGACAGAGAGAGAAAGGTCTTCCTTTGCCGTTGGTTCACCCTCCAATGGCCGCCGCTGCAGCCGGCGCACCGTGCTGATCCGATGGCAGGAGCCAGGATCCAGGTGCTTTTCCTGGTCTCCCATGGGGTGCAGGGCCCAAGCACCTGGGCCATCCTCCACTGCACTCCCTGGCCATAGCAGAGAGCTGGCCTGGAAGAGGGGCAACCGGGACAGAATCCGGCGCCCCGACCGGGACTAGAGCCCGGTGTGCCGGCGCCGCAAGGTGGAGGATTAGCCTATTGAGCCACGGCGCCGGCCTTCACTTTGTGTTTCTATGGGGGTGCAAACTGTTGAAATCTTTACTTAATGTATACTAAACTGATCTTCTGTTTAAAAAAAAAAAGAAGAAATTATCAATTCCCAACTTGACTCTCA